TAGGTTACAAGTAGATTCGATTGTGCATGTGTATGTACAAGATTACTATTGTGTAGTTTAAGTTAAGCTTGGAAATACACACAACATAGGTTTTACTGTCTAATCTTTATTGATTCTACAAAACGTCTCTTTTTAATATTTGTGTACAAAGATTTGTGAAAGGTAAAGGATGTATTTTTCGTTTATCGCCGACGAAGTCACATGTCAAACAGTTTTGGAATTCAAAGTGGTGACTTCCCTCTACTAGACTAAGATATATTGAGATTTAGTGTTGGTCGCTATCCAAACAAATTTATGGATTCAAAATATTTGATTAAGAATCTAAGCTATGAATATCGTTAGCAGTGATAAATTAGAAATACTTTAAAAAAAACTTTATTAAAGAGCTACTAAACTTACTCTTCAAAAATTCTAAATTTAGCTACACCAACCAACAGAGTTATATCAAGCACTCTGGAAGGTAAGCTTACAATGGAATAGTTAAGATGTACTTACTTAGCTTGTTTTTGAAAGAATTGATAAGAAGGAGTTTTTCCAGTAAAAGACTGTGTTCTTCCGTACAAGATTTGAATAAACAAACTAGACCCCTTTATCAAAAGTAATGCAATTTATATATTGGACAAAAACAATGTAATATTGACATCAAATAGTTTATGAATGAGTTTACATCAACGATACATGTTTGAGAAGACAGAAACAAATATGTCAGTGTGATTGTGCTTAGAATATAAGCATTTCAAAGATAACAGAAAATAGGAGTTGTTTTTATTTTTATTTGTGCACTGGTGTTTTTACGATATGTTTTAACCAACAAGGATTAACCAGGTTCTGCATGGATGTAGTTTTGTATTTCTTAACTATATTTTAGAACAGACAATCAAAGTAAAGTGTTCTAATCGATTAAACTAGAAAAATACAGAGGAGCTTAACATGATAAATAATGATATTAAAATTGAACAGAAGTATTCTAAAGCCACATGGTAAATTGTAGAAAAAGAAAATGTATGCTCCCGTTATTTGTCTACAAAAACAAATTAATAAAAACGTTTGAATGTTGATGATAGTTGATATATATTACGGACTACAAGAAATTATTGTAAAATTCTCAAATGATAAAGCAGAACAGAGGTAAATACAAGAACAATATGAGCGAGTACCGAAAAAGTAAAATAACAAAAATACCGAACTCCAAGGAAAATTCAAATCGGAAAGTCCCTAATCAAATGGCAAAATCAAAAGCCCAAACACATCAAACGAATGGAAAACAACGGTCATTTTCCTGACTTGATACAGGAATTCATTATGTAAAAAATGGTGGATTAAACATGGATTTATCGCCAGCTAAACCTTTCACTTATATGACAGTCGCATAAAAATCTACATATTAACAACAACGTGTGAACAAAACAAAGAGACATAATGATACGGGTTATAATCTTCTCATATATTTTATGATAGTATGATTCTAAACCCCTAACGGGAGGGATTGTGCTTAATTTTCATATGATGAAGACATAATCTTTCAATCAGTTAAATCGAGGTCTGGAGCTGGCATGTCAGAAACTGCTAGTAGTCCCTTGTTAATGATGTATCATTGTCATTTTGCTTAGTTTCTTAAGTTACCTTTTCTGACATCGGACTCGAACTTCTTCTAAACTGAGATTTACTGTGCGTATTACTGTGTGTTGGCTTATTCTACATTGGCTAGAGGTATTAGGGGGGTTGAGATCTCACAAAACATGTTTAACCCCGCCGCATTTTTGCGCCTGTCCCAAGTCAGGAGCCTCTGGTCTTTGTTAGTCTTGTATGTTTTTTAATGTTAGTTCATTTATATGTTTTGGAGTTTAATGTGACGTCCATTTTCATTGATCTAGCACACATTTTTTTTAGGGGCCAGCTGAAGCCCGCCTCCAGGTGCTGGATTTTCTCGCTGTGTTGAATACCCATTGGTGGCCGTCGGCTGTTTTCTGCTGTTTGGTCGGGTTGTTGTCTCTTTGACACATTCCCCATTTCCATTCTTAATTTTATAATAGGTAAAAATGTAAAAAAAAAATGTCCGTTATTATTTTAATTATTATATAAGTTCTTCTGCCTTTTTCTGATAGCGTAATTCACGTTGCGTAGAACCATAAATCTATATTTTGTTTGCAATGCGTTTTACAAACGAGTTGATTATGATGGACCAAATCTGCAATCGATTTTCCTGATTTCCCGAAAAATCAATCTTTTAAATTAAATCTATTTTAAGAATACGATATCTACCAAAGTATATTTACACTTAATGGAACAGGAAAGGAACTGAATGAAAATTTCCGAATGAGGTTGATTAAAAAAAAATCTTATTTAATTCATTGTAAATTATTATGACCAGACAAATATATCCCCGTCTTTCACATAATGTTATGTCTTATTTAAATGCGCATAGAAAATATCCATGAAACACGTTAAAAAAACATTCAGCTAATTCTAAATTGTTCATAATAATAAAATATCTTAAATCTGAGGAAAAGTTTGGTATGCGGTTGGCTTTGGTGGATTGGCATATCTTGAATATAAACTGTGGCAGGGAGACAAATGAAATATGCATATTCTATCATTTCATCACAAATATTTACACAAATAAATTTTAATAATGTTATCTTAGTAAAATAGTTCCAACAAATAAAATATTTCGCGGTATCAAATATATTCAAGCCGGTAGTTTTATCGTTTGAATTTTTTTACATTGGTAATTTCGGGACCTTTTAGTTTACACTGCGGTAAAGGCTTTGTTCATTTTTGAAGGCCTTACGTTGTATTATAGTTGTTTATTCTATGTCATTTGTTGTATTGTGGAGAGTGGTCTCATTGGCAATCATACCACATCTTCTAATTATATATCTTATCTTATATTTGTTCTAAAACCGAGCAATTGCCACATACCTGTTTAATTGTTCGAGCCATATAAAGATATTATCTAACAAACATTTTGCTTAAATATGTAAGACAAAAACGTATCTTGAATTTGCGGTAACAATAGAACTTTCCGGTTCTGTTTTTCGGTTGAATACAATTTTTCATTTAGTAATGATATAACGCATAGCATGTGATGAATTGTAAAATATTTGCTATACATCCATTGTAAAATGAACAAAATGATTTATATTTTATTATTATAAAAGACCAAATGTTGTTTTTAAAAACAAAATATGTTATCGTCGTAAACATATTCTTTTAGGGAAATGTTGCTATTAAAAATATATTTCTCACCAGGAACTAGAGAGAAAATATATCTCGCTTTTAGTGGATTCATAAGGAGCCAACACGAACGTCTTTTTCCTTTGATTGTCAAGGACGTTTAACACATCCATCATCATCATGCCATTCCCTCGTTAATAACGTATGGACCAATCAAAAACCTTAACAATAACATTTTCATAAGGCAACATATTTTCTAAAGTACTCCATTGACCCTACTCATTTAGATATTAAAACTTTAACCGTGGTTGTTTCAGGCATTCTCTGAATTACCTTTCAGTCAGCTAACATGGGGAAAACTGCTCTGCTCGTTTTGGTTGTTGCAATAACCATGATTAAACTCTTCAAATGTAAGTGTTTATTTCTTATGACTTTTAAATAATGATAGAATAATTTTACAAAAGTATGACAATGTAGGCAGAGGTTGTTACGTCCCTCATTGAGTGGTTTTGGAAATCAAATATAAGGGACTTATTATATTTTACCTGGGAGTTTTTTTCTATAAGGGGGTTCACATTTTTTTATAAATTCAAAGTGGGGGATCAATTTTATCTCTAATGAAACATTTGTGAATTTTTAAATCTTCAAGTATATCCTACATATAACGTGTGTCAAAGGCAAGTGTTTAGCATATTAGAATATTGGCATGTTTAATAGAGGGGGATCACATTTAAAAAAAAAAATATTTTAAGGGGGGGAAGTGATAATGATAAGTACCTAAATACAACTACCATGATTTGTTTCTGTCTAGTATGCCATGGCTTTAAAAATAAAATAAGGAATACATTTCTTTTTACTATTTCAAATAAGTACATCGCATCCTGCCGATTTCTTAAGACTTCCACGTTAGTTTTTTTATGAAAGTTTGTTTTCTCTAATGATATATGGATAATAACTGCAGTTGTGATGAATTTTGATTATTTTTCCGAAAGAGAATGAGTAGGTCATTTTTGGCCAAAATCTAATTTATGTCTGTATTGTTTTTCAAATACGTATTGATTTATTGAGATTATCAATTTATTTTCATCCTATTTTTGCGAAACACTAACACATTTAATTTACTGTATCAATTTTTTTTTCAACACAAATGATTTATCATTAGTACATTTGCAATATATTACATCTTAGTAAAATAACTGACAGTTTTGCTAATATATACCTTTGGGTTCGTGTTGTTCAATTGTTATTTTATCTGTGAAGTGACTTTGAGAATTGTTGCTTGCTTTGTTTTTTTTCGTTGTTTTTTTTTCGTACCCAACTATCTACTTAAAACAGTAATCCATTCAACAAGAAGCTGTCTCGGTGGTGTCATGGTAGCGTGTTCGTCTCGAGTGCGGGAGGTCTTGGGTTCGAACCCTAGTCGGGTCAAACCAAAGACTTTAGAATTGGTATTTGCTGCACCGTCACTAAGCATGCGGCATTAATGAGTAAGAGCAATTACTGGTCGGCTCGGACTCAGAATAATGTGTCCGGGTAAGGTGATATCTCTTCCTGTTGACTGTCGCTTTGTGAACTAGGACGTTAAAAAATCCGACTCAGCGTGTCGGTCTTATAGAAAGCAGGGTAAATATTCATATTACATTAACATGTTCTCGTCCTGAATATGCATACTAATTTCCCACTGGACGTTAAGCAGCCATCCATCATTATCATCATCATTCAACAAGAATATGCTAAGTTATATCTGTTAAAGATTTTTGTACTTTTCAAAATCGTGTTTTTATTTATCTCTAAATGTATATGTTATGAAATTACAGGCAAACCAAACTCTGCATGTACCGACCGCGGTGGATATTGTTCAGACTCGAATACATGTACATCATTAGGAGGCCACGTGGAAAAAATGACAGTACGATGCAAGTGCGGAAATGCATGTTGCAAATGTACTGGTAAGTAACAAATTTATTTCAGCAATATCCATCGATACAAAGGTGTCGTCCATACAAACTTACAACAACACACACTCGACTCTATCAATCAACGGAACGACCGGATATTAACTGTCATATTCCTGACTTGGAATAGCCATTTTCCAACAAAAAAAAATGTACTGACGATTTCATTATTTTGATAATAAATGTTATAGCAAGAAACATTAACAAAACCGTTATATTTTATGGCGCTCGTTACCAAATATTATTCGAGTCAATAAGTGATTCAGGAACTTGTTACCCACCTGACCAATTGAATGCATCTCATTTTATGATACTTTTGATCTTTTTTTTCAAAGAAACTATAGAGGACTAATATTTCTTTTTATCTTTTTGCCATTTAGGTATCTTTGTTTCTTCAAAATATTTTATTTGAATTAAGAATTTTGTTAATTCACCACATAACCTCTTTGCTGTGAGAAATCTGTTAATCACTAATCATTTTATTGCTAGACACATGCCCTGATGGTTCTACATGTATGAGTGAAGGTGACACCTGTGATGGAATGAAAGATACAAACGGATGTTGTGGCAACAGGTTTTGTTGTACATCTATTATGACAACAACACCTATTATGACAACATCACCTATTATGACAACAACACCTATTATGACAACAACACCTATTATGACAACATCTCCACCATGTGAGTAATAAACATGTACCTATCAAAGATAATCAAGAAATGTTAGGAGAAACATGTATAATTAAGTACATGATTGAAAATAATCATATAATATCAAATTCAAAATATAAATAATTTATCAAAAACGTGGATGCAAAATGTAAAATGGCGTGTTTGCAATTAAAAATTCAATTTTCAAGATTTCTTTTGTATTAGAAATTTTCAAACAATTTTTATATGACGGGACATTTAAATTTTCAACTTTTCGACTTTTTTTAAAAAGATTAAGCAATACACTCCAGTAGCACAGTGATTCAATACTTGTATTAATATTGTTTTGTATTATACATTGTTGTTATAAATTACAGAAAACAATTTTGAACTTAAAAAATATTTAACTCCCTCATGCTTAACTCTAATTTCCTGTCCGAATTTGGCTTTATTGTTATTCCATCCCGGTTATATTAGCTGGTAAAAAGCTTATCAAGATTTGTTTTTTTCAGACATAAACTAGCAACATTATTTGTAGTTATGTGCAGCTGGGGCAGAAAAAAATGACTCATGTCATTAATTAGGATGGTGATATTGATATTGGTACAAAAATAAAAATCTCTTATTTGATACGTCTATTATTTGACTGTTAGTCCCCGAGGGTTTCATCAGCTCGTTGACTCAGTTCGTATGTGCTTGCAAGACAATATGGATATTTGTTTCTTCTGAAATTTGATGTTATAAATTTTAGAAAACCATTTTGAATCAAAACATACATAGCTCTGAATCCATATCTTGGTCTGGCTATATTACTATTGGTTCTTTTCGATTATAATAGCTCCCAAACAATGTCTTAGATTTAAGATTTCGAAATCTTATGGGATCCAATATAATTGAGGAGATATTAATTGTAGACACGCGCATCATGGGCAGTAAAAACAAGTACCGTAAGAGATTTTAAAATGAAAATACAAACAAGGGAAATAAAAAATCTTTAGTGGCAGAACGACAGACATTAAATTTGATGAAAGATAAAAAAACAGCATTAAAGTACATTAAAATAAGCTATGCCAAAACTTAAATGACTATTGTTTATACTGTTGGGAATACATGTATCTGAATTATAAACCAATTGGATAATTTTACAGGTGATGTAGAATGTTATCAGCGTCAAGGCCTTTTTTGTGCTCCTGATTGTAGCAAAATCGTCGATGGAGGTCGCACTTATTTTGAATTTGGCGACTGCTGCGGAATGAAATGTTGCAAGTAAGTTTAAGTTAATAAATAGATGATATGATTATCATAATAACCATTTTTTTCCAAATCGAGTTCATTTTGCATCACTCTTGTTAGGATATGTAAACATTATGTTCAAGATGAGTAATCACACGTGAATGTAAGTGTAGATATGTACTATGATCGATATAGAAAGATTTAATGTGAAGGTGGCTCCCCAATCAAGGTGTTTTAAAAACAAACTTTTTCATGTGACTGTAAAAAGTGATATAACAAAAATATCAAACTCCAAGGAAAATTCAAAACGGAAAGTCCCTAATCAAATGGCAAAATCAAAAGCTCAAACACAACAAACGAATGGATAACAATTGTCATATTCATGACTTGGTACAAGCATTTTCTTATGTAGAAAATGGTGGATTAAACCTGGTTTTATAGCTAGCTAAACCTCTCACTTGTATGACAGTTGCATACAATTCCATTATATTGACAACAATGTGTGAACAAAACAAACAGAGATAGGGGCCAGCTGAAGCCCGCCTCTGGGTGCGGGATTTTCTCGCTTTGTTGAAGACCCATTGGTAGCCTTCGGCTGTTGTTTGCTCTTTGGTCGGGTTGTTGTCTCTTTGACACATTTCCCATTTCCATTCTCAATTTTATAATAGGTAAAATGTCAAAAATAAAGGTACAGCATTTAACATTGTGTTATAAACTTAATAACTGTAAAAACAAACAAGTATGTCAACAAAGAAAAACAAAAAGGCATATAGACAAAGCACATTAGCAAAAACGAAAGATAAGAATACAAAAATTTAACATAGCACAATTATACAATGACGGGATGTATAAATACCGAGCCACGTCAAATGGATATTACCAAAAATAGACTAAACAGTAAAAGTAATAATTTAAATAGACAAATAAAAGATCACTATAACACGTTATTAAGATGTTAAACGACGTCAGTACCTAGAATCTATACTTCAAGTCCTTGATGAAAAATCCTCGGACGTAAACATTTCTCTCCGATGACATATTTTTCTGCCGCTGCTGGTCATCGTGTATTATTTGTAAAGTTGATACGGAATATTTTTCAAGAAGGCCTTGGTATCTTCTGATGCACTTTTTTAGAAAAAGGACGAGACCTTCTTTGACATAACCCTGGTTCACTGCACTGGTGCATCACTAACAATTGTATCTTGTGTTATCTTCGTGTTGTACTTTTAGGATTCAAAATCTTTGTATTTATAAAATAATTCACATTTGTTTCATATTCAGGGTAATTCGAAGTTTGATATACTTTATAGTCACCTTTGAAGACTTTGACTATTTTCCTATCCATTATGTTTCTCTCATCGATGCATGTTCCAAATCTCCTTTGATTGATAGTTGAGTCGAGTATTTCGGTCAAAGTATTTCATTTCCTATAAAATACCTTTAATTACATGACATTGCCGAAATTTGAAGGCTGTCAGTTTGAATAAATACAATTCACATTGGACGTATTCCAATGAATAGAATAAAAAAAAAAATTTCTATAATTGTTAAAATTCGCAATTTTCCATATTTCGTACATGTATAAGCTTTTGAGTATGTTTCGGATTTGATAACTGCATGCATAGGGAAACTATATTTATATACATATCAATAACACAAAATGACTTGATGATATGACTTGTCCTATAGAATGTGCAAATAAAAGAATAATAAATTTGGACTAACTATACATGATAGTATAAAGGTAAACGATAACAAATGGACATTCGAACTAATAAGTCGAAAATAAACTGTCAACGCCATGGCTAAAAATAAAAAAAAAAAGAAAACAACAGTCCAAAAAACACAACATAGAAACCATAAGGTTTAGCAACACAAACCCCATAAAACGAGGGTGTTCCAGAAGAGTAAACAGATGTTGCTTAACATGTGGCACCTGTCGTAATAATTATTCAAATAGTTTGAAGCTCACAAGCATGCCTGATCTTCTGTTTTAGTTCTACAATTAATATTTATACTTTTTGAAATTTCATATTCACGGAAACTCATATACTGTTGGTCCTTTAAAAATATTGGCCTCATCGAAATTAGAATCTTGTATAGTAAATTGTGTACCGTGAATGTTATTACAAATTTTAACTAAAAAATATCTTATTATTTCAGGCTGGGTGACAACGACTAGTACTGATCTTTAATGGTGTTTTGTACAGTAGTGTGAGGACTCTTACCAAAATCCTGAAGCCGACAAAAAATAATATTTTGGGAAAATATCTACAGTTATAACTTAATAAAAATTGTATTATATTGATTATTATGCGTATGATACACTTTCCTCGAATAACTTTCGACACCAAAACGTTAGGAGGCCACATGTATAGTTTAAATTTATAAAAAAAAAACACAAATACTACACTCGTAATTGTCGTACATGCCATTTATTGTTTATTCATTGCTATGCCCTTTATTGCATTTGTTTACTTCTAAATTGACATACCTTATTTCAACCTAGCAGGGGCCTATTGGTTTTAGTAGTTCATTTACAGTAATCACTAGACTGTCAACACTGAGTTTGTGAGTTCGAATTTCACACCTTGCAAGGTTCGTTTGACTCCCCCAAACATCAATTTACTAGGATTGCCAATTTTCCTGCGTGAAGTCGATTGACGCACAGCGACAATATAACCTTGCCGCCAAGATAAAGCTAAGAGTGCTGAAAATGGCATTAAACATCAACAACTAATAAAGAATGCTAGTGATTGAGTACAAAGAAAGATAAATGAGACCTTAACAATGGGTAGTACAAGTTACACCCTACGTCATGTATTATATATGATAGATAGTACCGCAATAAATCAGTAGATAAGAACCATAATAAAACATATCTAAAACAATAGATATGACTGTTCAGTTATGTAGTGGTTTGCACAGAAATAACTGGAAAAAGTTCAAGTTTCCATAAGTATCGAGTGATATACAAAAATATATTACATTATAACATTGTATAATATCTTGTCTTTGCGTACTATTTACATGAAATTGTTTATGAAGTTGATTTTTTGTTGTATGCTTTACGTCCTGTGGCAAATATTTCAGGCATGTTTATGACGAAAACACATTCATAATAAAATACAATCGATACTTGCAGTATCTGCAAAAAAAAGGTTGACTGTGAGGTTAGACAGAAACTAAACCGTGCAACATCTGGTCACATACGGACATATGTCCCAGTAGAGTGACATGTCTTACGGTGGAGTGTTACCTTGAGAACCAGCACGTTCAAAATCCGTCTGAGCATGAATGGTCTCAAACAAAGCGGAATTTATATTCAGGTCTTTCCACTTTGAAGTGGAAAACCCTTAAACAGTCGAGGCAAATAGGAAATTGCATAATATTATGAAATATCCTAATTAAACACATTATTATGAAATTCAATAACATTAGTTATTCGAATAATTGTATTGCTATATTATGAGATTTCGTAATTCATAAAATTATGGAAATCCATAATATAAGAAGAAATTTTGATTTTCAATTAATTTTTTCGTTTCTTTTTTGGACCCCTTGACTATTTTTGGGAAATTCTTTAACCCGAATAATTCAGTCGCTATATTCCGCTGATCTACGATTACTCCATTAACGCCTGAATGCATTGACAATGAAAAATCGTCAATCAATCATTCGGAATTAGCTCGGGATTTACCTATCTCGATAAGATTGAGCTAATTGTTGATTGGTCACCTCTTCTACAGGGCACCAATCAAAATCCAGGATTCGTGAAGAGTTTTTATCGTGTAAGGAATTCAGGCCCTCGCAAGTAGGGGAGATCGATTACGGGGAGGGACTGAATTATTCGGGTTAGAAATTCTTTGGAGAAAAAAGATATTTCTGAGTGGCGTTTATATCAGGGTGTTAGGAACAACTGTCAGATTTTCTACGAAACGCCTAAAATTCTCCCGAATCCCCGCTATATGAATTATTTCGAATATTTGACAATGGGAGGTAATCCATATCGACTAAATGGGCAAATTGCGGTTATTGCTCTTTGATAATTATATTTTTATCTTATGTTGATGGTGTGAATTTTTAAAATGTCTCTATTACTTTGCAGTGATTTACATCTGTTTACATCTGTTTACTTTAATTACTTTTATTCATCTTAAATCATATAGTTAGGCCACACCAATTAAATTCCTTGTTCGACAGACCAGTCCCCATAATATTTTTGTGTAAACAAATTTTTTTTGTATGGTGTGTAGCGGGTTATTTAAAAGTGTGCACCACATTTTTTATGTTGTTTCGAATAGACAGAAAACATATTAGAGTCATTTCTTAAAATTTAATTCTAAAAAGAAGTGAATCATGATAAAAACGTTGATAACGTCTCGGTCACATGACAAAATTATGTCTATGAGCTGATAGACAAAACACTTTCAGCCAATCAGAAGACGTGTTACATCCAAAATTAAATTATTACTAAATTATCGTCAGAGCGTTTTAATCGACGTCAAATCGCGACCCATTAAACTGTTATAACGAGCATAAACACATATTTCTTATCAAAGTCAAGGACGGTTGTTCACAATTAACATCATGCAGATTTTCGTTGTTAGAATAAAGAAATTTGAAGGAGATATTTGTGCTAATACAGACACCTTTATACAAAACTGTGAGTTTCCGTACCCGCTGTATTTTGATGCACCTGTCCTAATTCAGGAACCTGTTTTTCAGTAGTTGTCGTTTGTTTGTGTGGTTCATAGGTTTTTCGTTCGATTTTCTGTCTGAATTGTTTTGTACTAGTAATTGTTTGGCACTTTATAGCTTGCAGTTCGGTGTTAGCCAAGGCTCCATATTGAAGGCCGTACTTTGACTTAGGGAGCAACTATTTAACTTCAAAGGGGGTATTTTTTTTGGATGGAGAGTTGTCTAGTTGGTACTCATATCCCACTTTGTATATACACAGTGCCAAAAAAATGAAAAAGACAAAGAATAAAAATGAGAGCACCGAAACGACGAAGAAACACACAACCAACATACATGTATAACACAAAAAACTAAAATGTATACACATTAACGAACACAATAAATCCCTAAAACCTTGGGTAAACTCAGGTGTTCGGGAAGGAAAAACAACTCCTGCTTCTTGCAAGACACCCGCCTTGTTTCTAATTATAAGTCAGGTCTTGTGAATGAGGAAAGACATCTATGAAAGTTCAATGAAAATCATTTAAGACAGTTAAAATAATTATTGAATTATTCAGTTCGATATCTGATGTCCTTAGAAAGTAACAGTAATACAAGAAGCCATAAATATGATGCAATAAAGTGGGCATTACATGTTGGTGAACAGAAAAAAACACATCAGCAGTTGATATATTAAAGAAATGCCAAAGTTCAAGTTGTAAATCAAATTTCATACCATCTTGATCAATATTGTATGAACCTATATGATTTTATGTTTCCAAAAGAAAAATATATAATTGGTCGCCTTTACTTTTGAAGCTTCTCTACAAAAATTTGTAATTTTTTTTTTTTTTAATTTTCAAATCGCTCGCTCGCACTAATTTCTGGAGTGGAAAAATCTGTAGAACAAGAAATTAAATTGTTGTGGCCTTAAAGACGTTAAAAATTAAACGTAGTTGTTAAGACTGTTGTCATTTGAACAATAAAACATTGATAAAATAATAAATACGTTTGGTGATAATGGTGTAATTTTTCCAAATAAAATAACGACAATTAACAAATGAATTTAACAGTTAAAAGTATATTTTGTTATCAATTTTGTATATGCAGATATTTACTTTATTTATTGCGTGTATAAGACACTCTGATAACAACATAATAAGGATAAAAATGGTTGCAAGTTAAATTATAAATGACATTGCCTTTTCTCTATTTTGTTGGGGTAATACATAACCTTTTGTTAAATGATTCATTGTTTAAACTAGGATTCACACATTTTGAGGAGAATCAAACCAGTTTTCAATCAACAAATTAAGTTGTAGACATTTTTCTTGTACATGGAAGAATCCTAAAATATAGCATTGATTTATCGATAAACTCCAGATTTAGCATTATGTCTTTTTTTTTAAACTGAGCCCTATCCGTGATCAAATGATTTCCTAAATAGTATGCAGTTGTCAAATTGTCATAATGGAACGTTAAGAATTAGGCAGTGGCTATTCGTCCGGCTAGCCGAACAAATAGTCAAAAATGTCTATTCATCCGGCAAGCCGGACAAATAGCATTTTTTCTTTTTTTCGCTATTTGTCCGGCCAAAATATAATGCTGAAGATATAACATCGTGTTTTGAAGGAGATAGATAATGCATGAGTAGTTTTAAAATATATTGTCCAACATCGTTTTATGAAAAAGAACTCATTCAAATAAAAAAATAAACTATACCTTTGATTCAGATTTTTTTATTCTAAAGGAATTTGGGGATGGGGGTGGGGGGTTTTGGGGGGAAAGGGGGGGGGGGGCAAAATAGATTCTCTCTTTTGTTGTTCTGCCTATGAATTTCCTGTAAGGTAAATAGTCGGGCCAATGATTATTGGCTTCATTAGACATCTATGATTCTAAAAGATCCTGAATTTATTGTTTCTGTGTAGTTTGATTAAATTAAGGTCCTGAAATGATTATGCACGTTTCTTCATTTAAATTGTTCGGCGATTTTTAATTCATAGGAAATTAGAGAAAAGGTATAGGCACGTGTAACATGTCCCAAAAAGTAGGATTGGGTTTTCGATAGAATTTAAAAAAAAATGAATATTAGATACAACAGAAAAAAATGGGGGATACCCCAACCCTGGTGTCATATTCCCAGTCCAGGCATATCAGTGCATTTTCATAGATCTCCGTTGTAGTATAACTTAAAAATAATGCATCCAAGCAAGTTTGATATAGTATTTTTCTGAATGCGTTTTGCCTCCATAAGGTAAATGGGGGTAAATCATTAATTTCACTTTGATTTCAGGCTTATTCCTCACAGTTAACATGTATACGCTATTGTTCTGAAATCACTCCTATAGAAATTTGTTTAAATCAATCACATTTTCTCTTGTTTTCTTTATGACATCGTTAAATATAAATCACGATCTCCGATTCTCAAAACGTCCATTGCATACGCGCGTTTGTTATCCGATACCTCATCCGGGACACTTTCCGCGTCACATGACACTTTTATTGATATTGAAGATTTGCGCATCCGCAGACGGATGGCCGGACGAATAGAGATTTTTACTATTCGTCCGGCTAGCCGGACGAATAGACACTCCGTAAGAATTAAGACACATACAAAATGCAGG